ATTTTAAATGGGGAAATTACCCAAAAATGTCTTAAACCTATTTTTTTGTGCCGATTCAATCCTAAATCTTTCAATTTGGTCAATTTAGTCATAATAAATATTTTAATTGTGTCAATTTAGTCCTTCTAACATGGTGGTCTAGACAATTTTTGCAATTTTATTTTCCTGATTTTTTAATTTTTTTCCTTTCTCTTTTATTTTTTTTTATTTTTGTTTCCAACCATGGGCCAGCGAGGTTACCAGCCGACCCTTGCCAAGTCTGGGCAAAGGCAAGGTCCACGACGCCTGGCCGGCCCAGGGTTGAAAAAATATAAATAAAAAAAAGAAGAAGAAATAATGAAAGATTCAAAAAATTTTAAAAATTTTAAAAAATTATCCATGTTAGTATTGGTCATGCCACGTAAGACTGTCGACTCTAACTAAACCTCTACGTCGGCGATTCAGAAGAATTAAATTGGCAAATCGTCAAAAGGTTTGAGATCGAATTGACAAATCGTCTAAATATTTATGACTAAATTGACATGATTGAAAAGTCTAAATTGACAAATCGTCAAAAGATTTAGAACTTAGCCGAAGTTTTATACCCAAAAAAAAAAAAAAAGCCAAATCAACTACACTTTTGTAATACGGCCATTGGTCAACCACATGTTACTTTATGGAAGCTTTTTCCCCTTTCCCTTTTCCCAGAGTGGGGGGGCTCGTCTCAAAGTAGTCCCTGAATTGATGATTACGTATCAATCGACCTCCCATCTCACCGACCGCACAAATCTTTTATCGGTAGACGAACACGATGCGCGTCGCGTGCCGCATTTCGTGTCATGGATCGGGGTAATTTTGTCACATATGTTATTTGAGCACATGCAGCTCAACGTGCGCTCCAAATCGATAAAAGAAAGTACCCCGAGTTTCCAATTAGCCTACATCTTAATCCCCTAATTTCCCGAATTTCGATCCTTCGTTCGTCCAGAGAGAAGGCGATTGCACGCCCCGTGAGAGCCTGGCCAACATAAAGAGCGCAATTGCATCTGATTTGGAAAACATGATTTTCCCCGTCACGCTCAAAGCAAGCCGTACGGATCATTAACAGGAAAAGGCGCACATAGCTATATAATCACAGATAAAGCAACCTAAGTGCGCCACTGAAATAGATTTGAGAGGTTGCGTCTGCGTCTGCATCTGCGTTTGTCCACGGCGAGACGTTGTCGTGGTAGGGGTTGCGTCGCAACCGCGGCTGGAGGAGCATTGTCGTCGATGTCGACGTCGGGGTAGCTGAGTCACTGCCGTATATCGCCGGCAGCAACGTTCGGGAGCGAGGTTGTGAGCTTCGGGTGGACGAGAGTGTGGAGAAAAGGGACCGGCCGACCGAATGCCACCGGTGTCATGAAACTGATGAAGGGCGTCAACGAGTTCCGCAACGGCCACGTATAAGAAATTTATCACAATTCATGATGTATGTCACCTTAATTATTTTACATGGACTTCCTAATTTAAAATTGTTGAACAGAAGACCTAATGAGAAGCAATACCAACTAATAAAGAAATGTAACCATGATACTCCAATTAATTATCATAATTAATAGAAGTGAAATATGCCAAATTAATTTGGAAAAATAATAAAGTCTTACCTCATTAATGGGCCTCTCTGAACTGAACTTTTGTGAGTAAGCCCAGCCATTATGAGCTTCTTATTTTTGGTTGATAAAAAAAAAAAATTGGCACTCAGCAACGAAGAAAATGCATGTGCTATAATAACCTAACATGATGGACCGCATTTTCTCATGCATGAATTGAGCACATCTCTTTTTTTTTTTTGTTGTTGTGAAATTATCACAATAAAAGTACCTCCAAAAAAATCTTGCCAAGAATCTCTAGGCGTATCGCATTCAAGACTTAAAGCTCAAAACAAAGCAGAGGCAACTCGAAGAAGCTTCAACGAGCATGTCATCTCTGTTAGAAAGTTCGATCCAGATACTCGAATTCATAGAGCGATGTGGGATGCTTTAACACCCCATCTTACGTGGGGCACGTGGAAAGTGATGAATGACGTCCGCATATGCGAAATAAATCAAGACAAAACCAGATTGGGATACTATGTAAAATGTTGTAGACAAGCGATGTGGGATATTTTAGCAATCTCCTTGAAGATAATAATTCGTTAATTTATCGAGATAATATAATGATCGACTTCCAAACCACCCCCAGTCCTTGTGATAATAATTTGTTTTAAAAGTTTAAGGCGTCAGATAAAAACTTGCTTTAATATGTAATTATTCTAATAATTCACTTCACGCATAAGCTAGATTTTGGCTTGAGCTTGAAGCATGGAAATGTGTAATTGGCGATGCAAATAGGGGCTTCAAAAGATTAAAATTTAGGACATTCTGCTATGATACCAGGTGAGAATTTGTAAGATTACTGCTAACTGTTTTAAAAGTTTAAGCTGTTAGATGAAATAGTGATTTAATATGTAATAACATTATTCTAATAATCCTAAATCTTTAGTATAGTGTCCAAATTTTGTCATGCTTGCTTTTCCCGGTGATTTATTGGTTAATTGTGAAACTCCTCATAGTCATCATTGTCCCATCTCAACCTAACCAAAAGCGCATCTCAGTTTGATATCAATTTGTGGTAGTAATGTCAGATGCATGTTTCTCTCCATTATTCTTTGGGGTCTCCTAAGATTGCATAGTCACTCATTTTCATTGGCACATGTAAAACAGGATAAAACAGATAGAGATCTCTCTCTCTCTCCACCAACACAAGAATTGCAGGAAAAGAAAAGAAAAAAAGGCTTCTTATTGGGGACTATAATTGATGATAGTGCCCTATCTCGTGAGATTTTGTGAGGCCACTGTCGATTGTTCTAAAAGTTTAAGGCGTTAGATAAAGACTTGCTTTAATATGTAATTATTCTAATAACTCCCTTCACGCATAGGCTGGGATTTGGCTTGAGCTTAAAGCGTGGAAATGTGTAATTGGGAAGGCAGCTAGGGGTTTGAAAATATTTGAACTCAGGATTTTCTGCTCTGATACCATGTGAAAATTTGTGAGATCGCGAATTGTTTTAAAAGTTTAAGCTGTTAGATAAAAGAGTGATTTAATATGTAATTACATTATTCTAATAATCCTAAATCTTTAGTATAGTGTCCAAATTTTGTCATGCTTGCTTTTCCCCGGTGATTTATTGGTTAATTGTGAAACTCCTCATAGTCATCATTGTCCCATCTCAACCTAACCAAAAGCGCATCTCAGTTTGATATCAATTTGTGGTAGTAATGTCAGATGCATGTTGCTCTCCATTATTCTTTGGGGTCACCTAAGATTGCATAGTCACTCATTTTCATTGGCACATGTAAAACAGGATAAAACAGATAGATCTCTCTCTCTCCACCAACACAAGAATTGCAGGAAAAGAAAAGAAAAAAAGGCTTCTTACTGGGGACTATAATTGATGATAGTGCCCTATCTTGTCACCATTCCATACACCACACAAAAGAAAAGAGGACCTTATCAAAATGACCAAACCCCACCACATGCACAAAAACTCCAAAACCCATACTTCATTATTATTTCATTTCCACCTTTCAACTAGCTAGTGTCCAGCCCAACCCCCAAGGAAAGGGAGCTCAATTTGAAAAATTTTTCCTGCCTTTCCAAAAGTTACAAAGAATGAAAACATACACAAATTTCTAACTTCTCAACTCTATAACTATTGTTTTGACTAGCTTTGATATAGTGATAGGACAAAAAAAAAGACTTTATTTTTTAATGATCCCGTGACAAGGTTGCTCTCATGCTTTCGACTCGGGAACTAACGGTTGTGAATTCAATTCCTACCATAAAAAACTCAGATCTACCGTGCTAGTTCCCTTTCAGATGGCTGGTTAATTACGGTCATGCCCTATTTAAAAAAAAAGAAAGATGCATATTAAGCACCGTTATAAATGGAAAAATTGATGTCTTAAAACAAATTACCAGAAGCAATTTAGAGACATCAAAAGTACCTTAAAATAGCCACCATTTACTAAGTCCATGTCGTCTATAATTAGCAGAAGATGTGATCATAATTCAAACCTAATAAGGAATTTCCAGACAACAATCTCCAGAAAACCTTAATTTGATTGCACTTGTTCTCAAGGGACAAGAAAGGTTTTGCATTGTCTTTAGATGACTAGGTTGTGGTGGTGAAAGTAAATATATAAAACAGAAAAAAATAAAAAAACAGAAATAGAAAAAGAAAAGAGGTACAATGAAATTAGGAGGGCCACACTCCTCTCACTTGTCATATCCACTGAAACTTCATTGGGTCCATATACACGGAAAAACACATTGTGGGTGTTAATCAGATACACAGCACATGAAACCCTCACAAGCTGAATCATCATGAAGAAAAATCTAGCCAACATATAAAATCACAACCAATTAACATAGTTATATCTTTATAAACCAAAAAAAAAGTAAAATATTTATCCAAAGGGAGAAAGGAAAAAGTCTCTTTTAGCTGTGTATTAGTGACCTGATCTAGCACAAGCTAACTGCATATATCTAAAGGTCCTCTTATTATGTCATTTCAATTTCGAAGTCTAGGAATTATTAACAAAACTCACTCTGCTCGACACAAATAATCACAAATTCACAGTTGAAGAACAGATTGAAGCTCCGAGTACGCATTCTTTGAGACGTGATTACCTAAATATATTACTTAGATAAAAGAATCGCTTTACCTTAGTAGCAATTTCAGAGAGATTCATTTACGATACGTTTATATGCCCATACCCAGAGACACAGAAAGGTAAGCCAGAAACACAGAAAGTTTCGTGGTCTCCAGCTCCTTAAGACCCCAAGATAATGTCACACAAGCACTACAGATACTTCTACTACACAGATAGAACGTCGATGAATAAGCAAGTAGAACGTCTACAATAACCAGCATATCTCATGTCATGATATCACTAATTTCCTAGTAGCAATATGGCATATATCACAATTCGGAAACATGGGAGAGAAGCAAATATCATTACAGTGCTAAATTACGCATAAGTGTTACGATCTACGGTAAGAGCTAAGCAAGTCGTTTTTCCCAACCACAGATGGCCTGGACAAGACTGAATATTACAGGAGGAAATCGCATCTTAAGTGGTCATAGAGTTCCATAATCAAGAGACCCCACAGATGGTATTCCGGAGCTCATGGTTCTAGAATCCTGTCTGTTTGTGAATTCATCGCAACTGCCGTTCGAGAGCCTCTGAACAGGGACGGAACTCAGAAGCTCCAGACCTCGTTTGCCCATTTGCTGGACTTCTTGAGGTGAGAGTATCTTGATGCACCACACACTGTTCACAAACTCCCTGCAGCAAGAAACAATACAATTATAAGTTTAACATACAAGCCGCGTGTAGCATAAAATCGAGAAGAGCCCAAAAATTGGAATTCGTCTAACAAGAAGTCCATTAAATAATCATTTACGGAATAACTTCAAGACCAGTTGCAGAACTGTCCTTCGATAATCTTGATAGCTACAAGAGGTAAATCGGCATTCAAGACCCTTAACCTGCTAGAGATACCAGAATACATTACAAGCACTTGGATATTTCACATGATCCTAAACCCTACCCACGCGATCAAATATATTCATGCGTGCATATACTAGTGCACCAGAAAGAACCAGACAGAACATAGGGATTATTAACTGAAACTCGCAATTTATCGTGAGGAAAAAAATGAAACTTTAAATTCGATAAGAATAGAGAGGATGTCAACTCACGGCCAAGGGCCATCACCAAGGAGAAGAACATCATTCTCCCTATCTACGAATACAAGCTGCCAGCCTGATCTCACAGGGTCCTCCAACTGGCCTTCAAGGCTAAACATGTGAGCAAGCTCACTCCGCAGCTCGTTGTAGCTGCTGAATTTCGTGATGTCTAGTGACCTGCCGAAGGACCCTGACTTGTAAACCTGTCAAGTAGACCAAACACCGTATTCAAAATCAGCAAGTCATCATAACAAAATACAAAACTATAACAATTCAAAATATTAGTACATAAAATCCTCGCGATGAACATTTTAGAAGTTAGGCTGCAGAAGGTCAGTTACCTTAACAAAGGTTCTAGTCGGTGGGTTTACATGATTCAGATTTTCTGGTGACTGCAGAAAACCAGAATCATCGATGCCACTGGGAGGGGCCACCGATGGATTAGGTGCAAAGTCTGCACCACTGTTGCTGATATAGTTAGAAGGGAAGGGCATGGATGTCGAGTCACTCTCACTGCCAACAGCCCTTAGGCTCGAGATCCCATTTTGCATCAGAAGTGATGAGGGTTCTAGATTAACTCCAAATAAAAGATGGCTCTGCACGTCAGTGACTTCTTGATCCAAACATTCTCTGCCAGGAAAAGGTGGCAATGAGACAGAACTTGGAGAAAGATTATTCTGAGGCGGGCCCAGCTGATCCATCTGAGGCAGAACGCATTGGGAAGCCCCTGAAGGAACAAGAGATTCAATTGCAGCTCGCTTTGACGGCCAGGAAGAAGGGGACACCAAGGAATTGGTCCTGGGCAAGTTGAGGTGATGGGGTGACCCATCTTGAGTAAAAGAGCCCAAGAGGGTCTGCAGGGGAGAGACAACAGGGCTAGTGACAGGATTGCCAGTTGAATCAGAAAAGCTCAGTTGCTGGCAAAGGGAAGGCATGGTTTGCAATGATGCAGTGTGAGACTGAGAGGCCGAAGTGAATTGAGACGGGGAAGAAGCACTTGGAATCTGCTCCTGGTTGACCAGCTGCTGCCGCAGCTGCTCTTGCTGTGGCAGCTGTTGATTAGTAAACGAGTTCTGATGCTGCAGCTGTCGCTGGAGAAGGTGAGACTGCACTTGATCTTGAGAAACTGAATGATGGGGGCTCTCTCTACTCCCTTGGAGAAGAGACTGCTGAGGCTGAGTTGACGTCAACATTTGGGACGGCACCAAAGAAGCGGAAGCGCTTGGTATGTTCTGCACATGCTGAACAGGCATAAGGGATGTGGCAGCCAGCTTGCAGGGATCCACGGCTCTCATTTCCTGTAGAGCTGCGGCAGCCATAGCTTGGTACATGTCTGTTTGCAACCCGAGCATGGACGCATCCAGCCTCGGTTGCATCCACGGTGTCAACCCCATCCCCTGGAAATTTAGGGACTGAATTCCTCGGTCTCCATCTCGAAGCCACATCGATGGAGAAGCCATTCCCATATCATCATCCCTGAGGCCTTGGATCAACAGAAAAAACCAATCAGAAGACCAGCAGAAGAAAGAGAAGGCTATATGGATTTTCTCGTGATTATAGTGATGTTAATCGTGCAAGTATATTCAAAACCTACACGATCCCTGTCAGAATGACTTAACTTACTAATCATACAATAGTTTCATGATCTTGATAACTCTGAGATAGTTCCATATAATGTCTGACAAATATATCGACTGGAAAAAAAAAGTCTGACAAATATGAAAGTGTTAAGCCATAATAATTAATTATTTTTGAATAGGTGAAACCATTCATATAAATCCCTTAACAGGCATTAATGTAGTATCTCTGTGAAAGATGAAACATCACTTGCAATAAATATATTGGGAAAAAGGAGAAACATGAAGCTGATCTGACATTCAGAGCAACACCTTACAGTGGCAAATTTATTGTAGAGGAAAGCCAATTCGTATTGCAAAGGCTCAACATCGGTACACGGTAAAAGCATACCATAAGAGGGTAGTCCAGGTGGCCAAGGGCGTTTGAGCCTTAGGGGAAAGGGAGATGGGTACATCGGAAATGTTGTAAGTGGTTCAATCTCCCACAGTGACACTCTTGGCTGTCTCTCCCCAGCCGTGGATTCATCCCATCCGACCTGCATGCATTCGTCAATCGCCATAAAGTCAATCAAAAGGGTCCAAATATAACCTACTAAACTACCTATCCAACTTTGACCGAAAAAAAAACTACCTATCCAGCAAACTGGTGGAAGCATACCTTCACAGATCGCCAATGCGAATTTGGCCATCGAACAGGATCCAAGTCACATATGCCTGTAATAGTTCCCATATAGCTGTACATCCAAAATATTTTTTCATTCAGTTTACATTAGACTCCTCCAAAGGCATTTCTTGGCCACAATACTGTAGGGTGGAACTAGCAAAACTGTAACAAGAATGCAAGTCCAAACTGTTTTGACAAAGAAATCAAGGGAAAAGAATAACATGAAGGAAACTCAATAGTCCCTTCTCCCTTCACGAAGATCACATACAGTAGCTAAAATGTTCTTTGACATGAAGCCATTATTGCAGGGAAAAAAAATCCAACGGTACACAAATGAGAAGTATTCTAAGCCAAATAAACAGTCTAAACTTACAGCAACTATAATGGATCATAGCTGAAAAGCCTGAAACTTACCGCCTGACACTAGATTCTTCTGTTTCGAAAAGCATCCGAAAGCGCATGCCAACAGAAACGCGTGTATGATAAACAGCTTTGATGTATTTGGCCAGGGATATGACAAACTCAGATGGGCTAGCCCTGTGGCAAAATGTCATGAGCTTTAGAAGGATATGAGAATTTTACACCTTCCTCAAAGGACCAAGTTGTACTTGTACCTTGGGTTATAAAATATGGTGAAGCGGCTATTTGTTGCAGCTGCATGGGCTGCAGCTGCAAGAAGACCCAAGTGCATGCTGTCGCATGATAAAACTGATGATGGCATCACAGTTTGAGGTCGATTAGCACGTCTAACCCCGAGAAGTAATTGGTTCTTCTCATTCCTGATGAAACAAATCAGACCATGGTAAGAGGGCAAACTCTAAGTATGTTCACCAGACAAATCCATCCATATTTTTGTTGCAAAGGTATTGACACAATTGAGTATGAGGAACAAGAAGTTAGTGCACCCACACCCACAGTGCTACGACTCATTCAGAGAGCATCAGCAGAGAAGAGGCAAATGACATGCAAGTTGAGGGCTCCTTTCAACAATAGATTTTCTCTGTCTATAATTCCGATAGTGAGTGTTCAGGGTAGGAAATTTCCTAAAAGTACTCTCAGCATGCAGAGAACTCTTGAGATGGAACGTTAGATAATGTAGTAGTTAAAAGAAAATCATGGTAATGAGGCAAACTACAACCTAGTTACACTGCTTACCATATAAAGAGCACTGAATCACCAGCAACAAGCCTTTTAGCGCTAACAAACACACTCCATCCTGTTGTAAGAAGATGCCTCTTTGGCTGACCTGCTCAAATAAGAGGCAGTGGTTGGTGATAAGCACATGTGTAACAATACTGAACTAGTCTTGTTGCACAATGATAACAATCCAGAACAGTGACAGAAAAACAATCAGAAAAGTCCAGACTCATATCCTAGCTTTTTTTGACAAGGCAAACAAAGTAGAGATGTAAGGCGGGAGAAATATTAAGATGACATAGGAAGAGAGTACAATCTGATGATGCCTCATCAGACAAGTATCAGATAGAGAATTTAAAAGGTAGACAACTGCTACGTCATCTTTCGCACATTCTTAGCACTTATCATTTGTCTACCGAAATAGGTTGGGAAGCAGAGGTTAGGTGAGACACCCTTTTAGTAACATAACAAGGCTCCAAGATGAAAAGATTAAGACTCACATATGGGCGAACAAACAGAACAATCAATCATTGCTAACCAAGGTGGAATTTTCATTATGCAATTTTCTCATCAGCCTCACTAGCTGTAGTTCTGTTCTTGTAATAAGGAACCTCATTCTTCACCGTTAATAAACTATTAAACTGCATATACTTAGGCATCAGCAAGATTTACACAACACGTTAACTTCAAGTAGGATAAGATTGCGGCTTCAAGCCTAGAAGTACATGGCTCAAACACAGATGATGCATTTGTTAAAAAATAAGTGCCCATTTTTTGCTTGTATTCTTGCATCATAATTGAAATGTCAAGAACACTTACCGCGAAATATATGCCTAAATTTCCATTCGTTGTCATGAAGATCCCTTGCAATTAATTCCTGGGCTGGAGGCTGTAGGGAGTAATCCTGTAAATTACACACATTGGTCAGTGATGCGTCATGGATTTATCACTGATCTTCAGATGCCACGCGCACACTGAGAAGCAGAGACATGTGCAGAGAGAGAGAGAGAGAGAGACCAAAGGTGGGAACACTTTTTCAGCTGCCCGGCGAGGAACTGAGAAACCACCATGTGTACTGGTATCACTGGCAGTCAATGTTTTACAAAAGTAATTTGTGGGTTGCTTGCTGGGGGAGCCTAATTCTGCTGGAAGGTATGCTTCCTTTTGCTCTTGCTACAAAAGAAATATAATTCTGAGAAAAACCAGGCAAAGCCACAAAAGATCAATACATTAATCAAGGAAGTTATGTAGCATACTGGACTAAGAGGTTGCAATGTCATTTGAGCATATACTTCATCCGTCTCAATATCTGCCTGGAGTTAACAACAGCTTGAAACTTTTAGGCACAATTTCAGGAAACATTAGAGGTAGAGAGGGAAAAGGTCTTACATGCATTGTCACGTTGTGAAGCTGGCAGATAAGTTGTGGAGGCAAGCTTGGGTAGTTAGGAATTTGAGCATCTACCTCTTGATTGGTCGATGCTGCAACCTGATTAATTATGACGATGATGTCCACAGTCAAGTTGGTTGTAAATGCGGGAGTAGTATTTTAGCGATCACTGGCAGTCTATGAAAAGATTAAAAATGATGCCAAGTGTGTCCAACATAAAAAGTTCAAGATGCGATTTTTCACCAGCTGCTACCATGAAAGACACTTGCGAATAAGCCTGTTGGGTGGGTTTGTAAACTCAGATCATACATAAAACGCAAAATTAATGGCTTGTCTAGTTCATGATCAGTACAGCAAAAGTAAAGATTAAACTACAGAAAGAGATCCTTGGTTTGTTAAATAGGAAGTTATTCTTATGTTTCTTCGTAGAGCTAATATCCACGTCCTTCCCTCAAGCCAGATGGGGCTCTTTGTGAAAGAAGATGAACCAAAACGGCTACAGAGCAATCTCAAACTGCAGGCTAATTAAGGCAGCCTCCACGGTTGGCAGGCTTACTGATTTGTTTATTTACGTACTTCACTCTTCTTCAGAAAGCACAAGCTGACGTACAGAATACATCACCCAATCCAAAATCAATTTGTACAAGATCGTGCATCCAAATTCTCCTCTACTGACCTGCTCGCTATGACCCTGAGGGAAGTAGACAACTCTGCTTCCGATAGCAGGCAAAGAAACAAGAGGACCAGCGCAAGCATGCCAAAGTTCAGAATTCAAAACTCTCTTTTCACCTGCAATATTTTGAAAGAGATGAATGAACACATTAAGAGCTTTGAAATCAAAAACAAGATAGGCTAGTGGTGAAAACCAGTAGCACACAAGATAACATGGGCACTTGACACGGACATGGCGCAGAAGAGAGATTGAATTCTCTCTCTTTTTCCCAATTGTGGCTTCTTAGAGGTAACAGCAAGAACCAAAATTCAGCATCCAAGAATTTAGAAAAAGCAAATTTAGCTGGACCAAGAAAAATGAACCCATCTGCCGGGGCATCTGAAAAAGCACTTCACTAAGGGAGGAAAAAGCAAAGACATGAAAAAAGTCACATCTTTTTGCTCACTAAGCAAGAATTTGGTTGAACAAGCCAGCCAACATCTTTATGGTCAAGCTTTTGGTCCTCATACTTGTAAATCATTTTCGAAAAACTCCTGAGCAAGGAAAATTGTAGCTAACCCAAATTTTAAAACATAATACAACAATTTATGTCAGTAGAAATCTGAAAAACAAAATTTTTCCAGTTGCTTAGGTCACCCAGACCAGAGAGATGAGAGAAATTCAAGCACAAAGTTACACCCAAAAAACAAGAAACATACCTTCCTGGGTTTGGGGAGAAAAACCTGCAGAAGACAGCCTCATTTTTTTGGCAATCAGAACTGCAAAATCCAAATTTCAGCGGAACTCTGAAATCTGAACTTCTTTAAGAAAAAATCAACCCCCACTAAAGGAGATCCAAAATTGTGAACCTTCTTTTATTTTCACTAAAATTCTCTGGATACAAGTACACAACCCACTGCACTGACCAAGAAAAACTTTTTTTTCTTTTTACCGCGATTTTCCCTTCATAATATAACACCAGACTTTTGCATCCCCATCACCTTCTCTGACAAAACCCCCAAAATCAAATCCACATACTCCATCTTATTGAACTGCTTCAAACTACTCAAAGCTGGTCTAGCTCAAGACCTTTTTATAATGCTGAAACCACAGATAATGATCCATCCCAGAACCTTCAACCAAACCCAGTTCCGCTACAAAACACAATCCATTTCAGCCTCATTCGCTCTCAGTCAATTTCATTTGAAACCATAGAAAATCGCCACAAAATGTTCCCAAACTCGAGTAAGAAACTTCATAACCCGAGTCCTCAGAGAACAGAACCCACCATCTTCAGCTGCTCAAGAAGCTTCTGATTCAACGAGATTGAGGCCCAATAACTCCAAACCCAAGAAAGCACAACCCCCAGATACAAAGGCAACGACGAAACTGGATCCCAAGATTCAAGAAAGCAAGATTTTCTCTCAAACACAGAAACCCAGATGAAGACTAGCAGAATTCAACGATTCAAGCATGAGGACGACGATGGAGATGACGAAACCCGAGTTCGAGCTCCTGTAAACATAGGAAGAGAGGTTACTACTGTAGAGGAAGCATTTATATTCACACACACGGGGCATGGAAGGGTACACGTGAGGGGTTCTTCTGAAGGAAAAGGAAAGAGATGAAAATGAACATGGGGGGGTTCGGTCTCTGTTTCCAGTAATGGAAAAGGAACAGCGAGGTGTCACTGGTAATGGTGGTGAGGAAGAAGCATGAAGACTGTAGTTGAAGTACTGCCAGTGGGTGGTAGTTCTGCTGCTACTTGCGCTTTTACCCCCTTCTCTCTCCCTTCCTCCCTCTGTATCCGTCTCTCTCTCTCTCTCTCTCTCTGAAGACTCTGTTTTTGGTGTGTGAGAAAAGAAAAAAGGGGAGAGGAGAGAGAAGATCTGACAATCATTTCTCTCTCATGCACGCCCTCCTTCTCTCTCTAAGAAGACCATTCGTTTTTCTTTGTTGTTTTTTCTTTTTCAAAATTTTTCTCTCTTTGGCTCTCCAAGGTACAAGAGACAGCAAGAAATGGCAGTCGTCTGTTGATGGAGAGACTCCCCTTATCAATCTAGGACAATTCAGTGAAGAAGCCTGAAATGCCCTCAGATGAAGTTGAATTTTACAGGAATTGGTTTGCCTTCCTTTTGGTTTTTTGATTTTTGGGTTAATAGTTAAGTCATGCCAAATTTTTATACACTTTTTTTCGCAAAATAAAATGGTGTCGGTTCATACCATCCATACATAGTATTTAGACTATTCGTATCAATGAAAAATCAATCATTGGTTTTTTAAACTAAACTCTAGTTTCGACGTGACTTTTTTAAACGAAATTGAAGTCCAATGTGAAAGATTCTTCGTCTAACGTGGCATGATTAACCAAAACGACGGTGTTAAATTTAAAGTTATGCTTTGTCTAAAATTCAATTTCTTCAATCTTCAACCATGGCAGTGTGTTCACAACCATTGTTACACATGCCATGGAGGAGCAGTCGTCCTCTTCGCGTGCTAGGAGGGTGAGGTGTTGCGAATGTGGAGGGAGACATAGGACCAGGGAGCGGGTCGATGGAGCGGCGGAGAGTAGAGGACTGAGGTTGGGAGGGGTTGGGGGAGGAGGGTCATGGAGAAGACACGTGATGGAGCCAACTTGGAGCGATCGGATGGTGGAGGATCGGCTAGGATCTTTGAGTTTGGCTGCAGTGGTCTGAGTTAAGAGATCGCAAGAGGTGATGAAGAAGAAGATGATGTCTTGAGGTAATGCAGGAGGAAGGAGGAAGATACATGGCCATTCTCAACCGAGAAGAGGAAGAGGAGAACAAGAAGCAAGTTCCACGTATTGTTTTTCGCAAATCGTCAAATTAAGTGGTGAAGAATACTTCAGTTCTCTCACTTCTTTTTTTTTTTGTTTCTCCTAATTCTAACTCTTCTCACTCTCTAACTTTTGACCTGCCTTCTGTAGAGCGCAGAAGTCGAACCCCGAACTTGTGATGCTAATGTTCCCACCCCCTAGTCCCTTTACTAGCAAGATCGCATGCCTATTGATAGCTCTCTCGATTCTTGACCTGCAAATTGGGGTTAGGGTTTCAATTGAAGTTGTTACCCTCTATTTATCAATTTTGGGGGAAAATCAAAGAGCTAACAACGTCGTTTTTGCACTCTTTTGCTCATTCGATTTCTTCAACAGGCCACATAACCTAATTTATGATAAATTAATGTCATGTCAGATTTTCCAATAAGGAAAATCACTCGTAACACTAAAGTGAACAATTTTTTAAAGTTATACTTCTCAAATAATTATAAAAAAATTATAACACTTAAGTGAGCACCGTATTAAATTCATGATATTTGTGGTGTTCTTATCTCTATAAAATTTACTAAATATAAATGTGAGTGATGTCCTTGGCTATAACTTACCAATATGGTACAGCGGACCAACAATTGATGCATACACAACTACAATAAGGCAGATTGGCCCTTTTTAGGCAAACTAGAAAAGAAGGCACACACACGAGAAATGTCTAGAGAAGTCCAAATATTTATTCCATTAACATTAAGTGACATTAGACATGTCTAGAAAAGGCCATGTATTTATTCTATAAAAGATAAATACACTAATTATGAGTGTATATGAGAAAGCAAAGCCAACGAATTGTTCATCCCTTACATTGACCACTGCCCTCTTAGTATGGGAATTATTTTTTTTCCTTACAAAGAGTAAATGATTCATCAAACTCATAATTTTGAACTCGCTAATCAAAAAACCGATTATCACATGAAACATTTTTTTATTTTGTTTTGAATGACAAAATTCTTTCAATTAAAAAGAATCATTTATTATGTTATAATCATATGTGTATATAGTAGTATTTGGTTAAATTAAATCAAAACTATGATGTAATGCACAGCCCGATAGAATTTGAGAGTGTGAAAGCACAGCCATTTTTAAATTCTTTCGAAAATCAAATCATGTCCAATTATTTGATCGTTTGAGGGCGACAACACGAGTGTATTAGTCTTTGAATAACTTTTGTCAGAATGAACCTTTTGATTTTAGTTTTGAAATTGACAAAGAAGAATAATAGCAAGAGTTGAATTTCCAATATTGATTCAAGGACTGAAAATAGAAAATAATACTGGAAAATCACTCTTTCCACCCTCATATCACAAATTAAATAAAAGACAAAAACTACAAGGAAAAAACTTACCCACCAAACCTCAACCAAAATGAAAAAACACATGCAAAATTGTGGAGTAACCCACACCACCCAAATACTGTTCCCCACCCATTCACTGCAATCTGAATGGAATATAGTACGCCCTAACTTCTATCCAATGCCATCCCAAATCTTTTAAAATTAAATACCAACATAATTTTTTTTACTATATCGTTTTCCTTTTACACGATAAAATTATTGCGCGCAATCTCAGGCAGCGTATGAGAAACCGATGATTGTCAACCGTTGGATGACAAAGCTCTTGGCCCTTGGACTGGAGCAATTTACATCAACCGTCGGATCTAGCACTACAATCAAATCTTGCCAAACTCTATTGGATAGTGTGCTATTCAAAACAACAACTTAATCAATTGGGCACGCCATTCTTGATTATTCAGCACTACATTTTTCTTCGTGCTGTCATCCGGTAAAAGCTAGAGACAACGATGCAAAAATGCAAAAATTGAACATGTAATATGAAAAAACATCGCGAAAACTGCGAAAATCATGTGAAACTTTTCCTTTCATGGCGAGAATAGAATAAAAAATCGTTTTTGAACATAAATTATTTTCGAGAATAGAATGATTATCAAACGCACCCTAAATTTTTTTTAACACCTCAAGTGACATCATGGCGAGAAAGTTTGGACGCTGGAAAATTGTTCCTAACACAAAAAAGAAAAAGAAGAAAGAAGAAAAAAAAGTGGGACAATGACCTTTCTAATTTCCTCAAAATTGAAAAAATGCAGAGGCCAGGGAAGACTTGAAAAAAATTGCGAAAACCGAAGCTAATTACTGTCATTGTCCCCAATTATTACACAGCCATCCCATGCATGAAAAGTACGTGTGAGAGTTTCTGTAAGGAAACATCCTGCGAACTTTCAGACAAAATACAGAAGGGAACCCCCAAATTTAATAATATACAGCGCAAACGTTATTTAAAACGGAAAAATCGAGAAAGAAAACATCCTTCCAAGGGATGAGCTGACGCTTGTACAGGAGTAAAAGTGACAGTTTCCGCTGGAGCTTTCAAGTTGCTTTCCTTCTCCCCGTGCATGCCCATAATGTCGACCCGATTTGAGCTTTTGACCGTGCGATGTGCAGAACGAGACCACAGGCGCTGCACGGGCAAAGGGGAAGAAGGGCTGCCATGGAATTGCCGGTGGAGTTCAGTGCCGGGATTGATTAGACCGCGCCTTCATTGCGGCACGAAAATAAAAATTCACGGCGAAAGTGCGATCGGGACCGGATTTGTTTGGGAGAAAATTTCATGACGGAGAAAAATATTTATTCAGAAAATCGTTTTACGGGAGCATATTTTGCTCTTTTTTCAGATTTGTGAATTCATTTTTATAATTTTAGGCATGCATATTTTCTATAATCGTAAATTGTTTTCCATTGACTGGTTGGTTTCTCAGCAAATCAAATAAGTGAAAGTCCTGAAAATTAATTCGCGGGGAATTCTCTCGCTGAAGGAAATACACCCAGAGATCGAATTCAAGATAAAATATTCCGAGTAACTCTTGCGTTGGGTCTTTGTATTGCGCTCTGCGTGGAGAATGGCCGCGAGGGAAGGAATAGAGCGACAAGTAGGGCCGAGAGCTGATCACGAGGCGGCCGGGACTGGTGGTCAAGTCTATTGCATTGTGCAAACCTATGAGTAGGGTAGGTCGGACTTTCTCGATTAATTATGCCGCTTAAAATTAGCCCATTTGCCATTTGAGTCTTGGCCGTCCGCCCGTTGACCATCTCTAGTCAAATATATGAATTTTGTTAAGAGTGCAAAATTTTCCCGGACGGTAGTTTGTGGTCAATGGAAGGGCATGAGCCGTGTCGACAATTAGTTTCATTTGATGGTCTAGATTATTTGACCGGACATGGCAAATAAGATTGGTAGATTTTTAATTTGGTGGTCTGGATTATTTGACCGAAACGGTAGTTTATGTATTGAACTTTCTAACATGATATCCAAGCCTATTCTGCTTTAGTGTTTGTGTCCACCCTATTAGTCACTTCTAATTTGGTTTGTACATGAGATGGGGTGTTGAAATTTCTATCTCACATCCTTTGACAATGGAGTTTATATACTCTTATATATATATATATATATAGTCTCCATGCACCTATTAGTTTAAGCTTTTGGGTTAAATTTTATAACAATAACCCTTTTGGTTGCATGCACATCAACAATTGAAGAGCTTAACCGAAAAAAAAAATCATTTCAAGCGGCTTTTCTTTTTCAAATAACGTAAGTATCTCACTTTCGGTTCAGTTAATCTCTCCATTGGACACAAATAGCCACGTCCAATTACATCGCTTAAGTGGTGGACGTTGCCTCAAAGTTCTCCATTACTTAGTCAATCTCTTAAAAAACATTTCAAGAGGTTCATTATCGAAAACTCAATTAATTGTAGATCAAGTATATTTCGTAATAAACTCTAATGTCTTGTTTTTTTATGAACAAAGATGTTTTTCTCTCTTCTGTTAATCTTTTTTGAGATGAATACAAAACTATATATAGTTTTACAAAGAAAAAACTATTAAAGCTATTTTAGACTATGCACTACTTTAAGCTAAGAATCTGGTTTAACCTCCCAAATAAGGACATTATACAATATAAATATAGCAACTAATCAGCCCTACAATTTCTCCAATTAGCCTTAATTGACAACTCACGCCAACATTCCCCCTCAAGTTGCTGCATAGATATCATTGATGCCTAACTTGTTAAGTGAGTTGTAGAAGATCTTGCTATAGA